TATTTGGAAAATACATACGTAAATTTGAAGATATTTGGTTTTATAAATAAACTAAATGGAAATCAAAATAAAAGAACGCTAAAGATAGTACTCGACTACATCACTGTGACGTTATACAATATTTACTTCGTTTCAGTATATTTGTCTTCTAAATATATGACATATATTTTTATATTTTATTTATTTATTTTCTGTCAGGTTTGCAGTTCTGTGTTTCCTAACTTCTTTTCCAAGCAGAACTATGTGTATGTCATTTAAAAAACAAGTATCATTTTATTTTATGTGGATGCATGAATGAAGTGAGTTACAAGTAGTGTGACTCTTATTGTTAGAAAGAGATTGTAGTTGAAATGAACCTAAACAATTTTTTCATTTTCAGAAATGTGGTTCGAAGCTTCATATGTTATCATGTATTCTGTATATGTTATCATACACATATATTAATCAACATGTACAAATTTCATATGTATGAATATTATATATAAACATTATTACATATTGTAAATGTTACATATGCATATAGTATATTACATACAGTGTGTATGAAAAAGGTCGAAACCCTTAAATATTTCGAAAAATATAAGTTTTATCAAAAAATGTTTTAGACAAAAGTTGTAGGGCTTAAAAAGTTCTATTTACTGGCAATATCATTTTGACCTTGAAGAGTCACTGGAAGGTCACGCGAAGGTCACTTCAATTTTTTTAAATGGAACACCCTATATATTTTTGCATATTCTTGTAGCTTACCTCGAGAGCTTTCTAAAACACTATGATAAAGTATTTTTTGATTAAAAACTTTTTGAGTTACTAAGGTTTGAAATTTCCAATAATTTTGACAAATTACAAAATATCTTACAAAATATTCATTTTTCAATAATCTTACCCTAATACTTTTGTGCACAGAATAATGAGATAAATTGACTGGCGTAAAGAAAATACACAATTGTTTAAAAAAAAATAAGTAAATAAATTTTCAAACAATTTTTTTTAATAATATACTATACTATATTACTATATTACATATAGTATATTACACATACGTAATGCAACATACGCATATAGTATATGTACATATGTACATACATATATTGATCTCCAACATCCAACAAAAATTCAAAATTTGGAATTCTGATAGAATGACTCTTAACTGAAGTTTTACGAGAACAAGATATAAACATTAATTAACATATAGAAATTTATTGAGAAAGGTAAAGGTTTCATAAAATTTTGTCACAGCGAACATTTCCGACGCGAACATTTAGCTAAATGATATTTCGTGATACATTACGGTGGGGTCGAGTGTAATATAGGAAGGGAGGGTCTTATTTTTAACCAGGGCGACTAAACAAACTCTTTTCTCTTCTTTCACCGACGAAAAGTCACTTTGAGTCACGACTAATATTAGGTCGGTGCACATGCCGTGGCAATTAAATCTGACGTTTCTACGCCCACCTGTACCGTGCCTATGTACCATCAAAATTCGTCTGATCTTTCCTTTCAATCATTATTTCTTATTCAAATGTAATGTAAATTGTGCGATTAAATAACGATGGAGAATCGATTTCGACGAAAGCGATGTAAAAATATACCGCGGATATAGAATAGAAATCTTGGTAACCTTTCTTGAAATAGAATAGCAAATCCGGAGATGTTTGTTTGAGCTTCTATTCTCAGATTTGTCGAATGTTATGTGTATAGTTATTGATTGATAATTTGAGATACTTGGCCGATATGAGATATTTATTACTATTAAATTTTTGTCAAAAGAATTACACCGAAGATTATTAAATTTTTTCAAATTCTTTCAAATGAGGAATTTTAGGTTTGTACATTCTTCTACTTGACACTATGCTCCTATCTATCATTTCGTCAAATGTCCATCTAAATTATACTAATATAAAATTATGTAATATGTACATATAATACATGTAATATATACATTAATGTAAAAAGAAATATAATTTATTTCCTCAAGATCAACATTTCTTAACTAAGTAAGTGAAAAATTCAAACTAAATTATATTAATTACTCCAACCATCAAAATACTTAATTTCATAAACTTCAGTAACTTCAATTAGCTTTCAAAACTTCATTAACCATTTACTAAGGAATTTCAAAAGCTTACCAGATACTTAGCCCCCTAAACTACAATTTCCTAGGCAGCTGCGTTATGCACAAACAACTAATTGCTACAATGTGGAGACCAGTAAGGAAAGTTGTAAAGTTAGGCACGTTTCGTTTGCAATGGAGCTAAAATAGTTAGAAATGGAGCTAAAATTCAATTCTGATGAAAATATGAGTATGAAGGAGTAGTTTGTGACGCGTGAACTTAGTGTACGTCGCACTTACGTCACGACTATGTCACGAGTGCGTTAAAAGTGTGTCATGAGTGCGTCATAAGTGCGTTAAAAGTGTGTCATGAGTGCGTCATAAGTGCGTTAAAAGTGTGTCATGAGTGCGTCATAAGTGCGTTAAAAGTGTGTCATGAGTGCGTCATAAGTGCGTTAAAAGTGTGTCATGAGTGCGGTGTCATGAGTGCGTCATAAGTACTTCAGTAACTTCAATTAGCTTTCAAAACTTCATTAACCATTTACTAAGGAATTTCAAAAGCTTACCAGATACTTAGCCCCCTAAACTACAATTTCCTAGGCAGCTGCGTTATGCACAAACAACTAATTGCTACAATGTGGAGACCAGTAAGGAAAGTTGTAAAGTTAGGCACGTTTCGTTTGCAATGGAGCTAAAATAGTTAGAAATGGAGCTAAAATTCAATTCTGATGAAAATATGAGTATGAAGGAGTAGTTTGTGACGCGTGAACTTAGTGTACGTCGCACTTACGTCACGACTATGTCACGAGTGCGTTAAAAGTGTGTCATGAGTGCGTCATAAGTACGTCACGAGTGCGTCATGAGTGTGTCATGTGTGCGTTAAAAGTGTGTCATGAGTGCGTCACGAGTACGTCATGAGTGTGTCATGAGTGCGTTAAAAGTGTGTCATGAGTGCGTCACGAGTACGTCATAAGTGTATCATGAGTGCGTTAAAAGTGTGTCACGAGTGCGTCATAAGTACGTCATGAATGTGTCGTGAGTGTGTCATGAGTACGTCACATGTGCGACATAAATGCGTCACGAGTGCGTCATAAGTGTGTCATGAGTGCGTTAAAAGTGTATCACGAGTGCGTCATGAGTGCGTCATAAGTGCGTTAAAACTGTCACGAGTGCGTCACAAGTGCGTCATGAGTGTGTCATGAATGCGTGAAAAATGTATCACGAGTGCGTCATAAGTGCGTCATGAGTGTGTCATGAATGCGTCAAAAGTGTGTCATGAGTGCGTCACGTGCGTGTCACGAGTGCGTCAGGAGTGCGTCACAGTATAAAATTGAAATTTGACATCGATTTGTATAAATCTTGAACAAAGTTAATTGGTTAAAAAGTGCGAAAGAGAAACAAATTCCTAAAATAATTGTAACAGATGTAACAGAGCAATCTTTCATAGTCGACATTAACAAATTCCAGAGATATTTGCAAACGGTGTCGATCGCTAGAATACCGAACAATTTTTATTGCATTCGGTGCCCACAGCAACAAATAATTTCGCGCGATGCCAAGATATCGAGGAAACTGGTAACCGTGCCACGAGTATTAATAACTCGTCGATTTAAACCGAATGGCAGCTTCATTCACCGGTACCTCGATGCACACTTTCGACAGAGAACGAATACAAATCTGTCATTTAGAACGAATACAAATCTGCCTGAGAACGATAGAGGAGAATGTTTATTTTTGAGAACGTTTAAAGATTTTCAAATGAATTCAAACTTTTAAATTACAAAATCGGCAAATCTCTAAAATTTCAAGAATTTGGAAATATTAATATTTCCAGGATTGCAATTTTCTAAGATAACAAATTATCAAAATTGCAAATTTCTATGGTACCAAATTTGTAAAACACCAAATTTCCAACATCCCAAATTTCCAAGATCCCAAAATTACAACACCCCAAATTTCCAACATCCCAAATTTCCATCATCCCAAATTTGTAGAACCCCAAATTTTCAAAACTTCAAATATCTACCCTACCAAATTTCCATCCCCCCAAATTTCTTAAAAACCAAATCTCTAAACCACTAAATTTCCTAAATCATCTCATTTCCTAAATCTCTAAATTACCCAAATTTTCTGAATCATCAAATCCCTCAATCACCAAATTTTCTAAAGTATCACACTTGCAAAATTCTAGAACTCAAGAACGATTCTAGAGTCAGAGAGGAGGAGACCGGAAAAGAGATCTCGATAGCCGCACAGGAAGGTGTTGCGAAATCGTCGAGACTCTCGGAAATTCGATACCTCTGCTCCTCTTTGCTTTTCTGCGAGAAAAACTACTGCATTTCTCGACCACCCACTTACAAACCTTCTGAAGTTTTGCTCGTTTCGTTGCATCGTACTTCATACGATCATTTTTAGCCACGTTTAACGTGAAGTGGTCGTTTCTAGGTAGGGACACATATGTACAAGTGTGAAGAGTGTAATAAAAGCTCATATGTTTGAGTATCGTGTTTTGTTTGTTTTAGTGGTTGTTGAGAGAAGATTTGTAATTATGCTGTTTTTATTATCTAGATGTTAATAATATAATATTCTAAATTTACGGAGTGTTGTTTTATATTCAGGAAGCTTTATGGGGAAGTTGCTTGAGGATTTAAGAATTGTGCATTTAGAGAGGTGGAAAATGAAAACTGTTTTGAGGCTTGCAAATTTTTGTAAGTTAAGATTTGACAACTTTGAAATTTTAGAATTTTGGAACTTGAGAATTTGGGACATAGTACATTTGCAAATTTTTAAATTTAGTAATTTGGGGATTTCGGAGATTTAAAAATTTGAGAATTTTAGAATTGAAAAATTTAGGATTTGGGAATTTCGGAATTGAGAAATTTGAGGACTTATGAGATTAAAACAGGCAGTTAATGAAAATGAATTAAATTGAAAGTATGGAGTTACTTACCGATCTCTAGACGAGCACTGCAGATCGCTTTGCCAGCAGCGTTCTCCGCCACACAGGAAATCGTTCCAACATGCGTGTTTCCGGTCTCTGGGATCGTCAGAACCTGTCGATCTCCACTGACCGATACCAAGAAGTCCTTGCCATGAACGGGACGATCGTTAAATAGCCATTGAATCTGAAAATTGATCAACGAAGTTGCTGAATGGCTTTCAATTTCATTAAATAAAATAAATACTATTTTTGTTTATTCTGTATTTTATGTTTATTTTGTTTAAAATAACGTAAATTATATTTTAATGTATTTACTATATACGATGTTGTAATAATGTTTTCAAGATATTAATAGTCACTCATCAATTACTAGATAGCAAATTAATAATATACCCTCAATATAAATGAAGTTATAATGTACTTATTACGAAAATATTATAATGTACTTATAACAAAATCACGTGAAATAAATGAAAATATACGAAACAAGAATAATTTGCAGAAAATTTAAAAAATTTGAAGGTATAATTAATTTGAAGTTAGTATAAAAATATAACACTTAAGATAAATTTAATAGTAACAAAAACATGATACAATTTAAAGTTTATTTTATAATAATTCTTAAGGTTGAAGTGGATGAAGTAAATTTATTATGACGGAAGTGGAGCAGTGCCAATATTCTCCTAATCGATGTCTTCATAAATTTACAACTGTATCTAAATGTTGAATATTTAAATTTTGTGGACGCTCAACAATTATAATTTCAATTTACTATTAAAAGAATACAAATTGTCTTGCACTTCGAATTGTCAAAGCTTGATATTGAACTTTAATTATATCGTCCCGATAATAAAGCTGTCTATCTTTGTATTTTAGGAGGTAATATAATTCTGTCAAACATTCAGCACAATGTAAATATGTAGCACAGCTGTTTAATCCTCGAGTCATAAAAATTTCATGAAATACCTGAATTACTGGAACTACTGTTTTGAGATTTTAAAAATGATACAGATGACACAGAAGTGGGAACAGAAATTCACGTTTCAATGAAGAAGGAGAATCTTGTTTGAAGAAAAAGAAATAATTTGTTGTTTCACCCATGAAAAATCATAAAAATTTCACGATGTACCTGAATTACTTCAACTGTTGAATCAACATCTTAAATTCCTACAAACGCCATAAAACTGGAAGAAGAAACTTGTCTGTCATAAAAGAAGAAATAATAACTTACTGTTTCATCCACAAAAATTTCACGATGTACCTAAATTACTTCAACTATCAAATTTTAAATTTACATTAATGTCACAAAGCTAAAAGAAGAAATTTGCTATTTCACGTAGAAGAGGAACAGAAGACAAGAAACTTGCGTATCTTGAAAGAAGAAATAATAACTTACTGTTTCATCCATAAAAACCCACAAACATTTCACAAAGCATTTCAATTATTTCAACCATAATAATATTTTAAATTCCTATAAATGTCACAAAAATAAAAGAAGAAACTTGCTATTTAATGTAGAAGAATAAGAGTGGAGAAGAAACTTGTCTATCTTGCAAGAAGAAATAATAACTTACTGTTTCATCCACAAAAACCCACAAAAATTTCACAAAGCATCTAAATTATTTCAACCATAATAATATTTTAAATTCCTATAAATGTCACAAAAATAAGAGAAGAAACTTGCTATTTAATATAGAAGAAGAAGAGTGGAGAAGAAACTTGCCTATCTTGAAAGAAGAAATAATAACTTACTGTTTCATCCACAAAAACCCACAAACATTTCACAAAACATCTCAATTATTTCAACCATAATAATATTTTAAATTCCTATAAGTGTCACAAAAATAAAAGAAGAAAATTGCTATTTAATGTAGAAGAAGAAGAGTGGAGAAGAAACTTGCCTATCTTGAAAGAAGAAATAATAACTTACTGTTTCATCCACAAAAACCCACAAAATTTTCACAAACCATCTCAATTACTCCAACCATAAAAATACTTCAAATTCCTCCAATTGTCACAGAAATAAAAGAAGAAACTTGCTATTTAACGAACAAGAAGAAGAGTGGAGAATAACTTGTCTATCTTGCAAGAAGAAATAATAACTTACTGTTTCATCCACAAAAACCCACAAAATTTTCACAAACCATCTCAATTATTTCAACCATAATAATATTTTAAATTCCTATAAATGTCACAGAATTAAAAGAAGAAACTTGCTATTTAACGAACAAGAAGAAGAGTGGAGAATAACTTGTCTATCTTGCAAAAAGAACTAAAACTTACTATTTCATCCACAAAAACCCACAAAAATTTCACAAACCATCTCAATTACTCCAACCATAAAAATACTTCAAATTCCTCCAATTGTCACAGAAATAAAAGAAGAAACTTGCTATTTAACGAACAAGAAGAAGAGTGGAGAATAACTTGTCTATCTTGCAAAAAGAACTAAAACTTACTATTTCATCCACAAAAACCCACAAAAATTTCACAAACCATCTCAATTACTCCAACCATAAAAATACTTCAAATTCCTACAATTGTCACAAAACTAAAAGAAGAAACTCGCTATTTAACGAAGAACAATATTGAAAAAGAAACTTGTCCTCCATACAAAAAGAAGAAATAACTCCTTCCTTTCCCACGAAAACGTATACACACCTCACTAAATTCAATTAATAAAAATAAACTAAAAAAGAAAAGTATTACGCAATGAAAACGTCGATACCTGATTCGCGGTAGTCGAAGAAAATTTCGCGGAGTACCTCGCGGTACGGCAGCATCCGCGAATTTCTACATCAGGTACATTGTTCTCGTTTAAATATAACCCAGAGGCACAAAATTACTCTTGGTCGGCCACCTCTTGACAGGCTGGCCAACTCTGCGTAACGTCTTCAACGTATTCCTTTACGCCTTTGTGAGAAATCTCCCTCTGGCGTCGAAATTCAAGGTTCATCGATTTTATTACTTATTATATGTACATTTTGTGAATGTACTTTACATTGCTTTTGTAAGTTGTTTAATTCTGTTGCGGTAGGAACTTTAACTGTGGCAGAATGAAGTTAGTGGGGAAGAAGAGAGTTTTTTGCATGTGGGGTATAGTTTGTATTGGAGGATTTTTGGAAGATTTGAAGATTTTTATATTAGTGGATTTTTAGATTTGAAGATTTAAAGATTTGTAGATTTGTAGATTTGAAGATTTTTATATTTGTGGATTTGTGGATTTTTAGATTTTTAGATTTGAAGATTCGTGGACTTGCAGATTCCTAGATCTTCAGGTTCATGGATTTCAAGATTTCTTGATTTCTAGATTATTAGATTTCTCGACCGTCAAATCTATTGACAGTCTGAATTTTTAGGCTTCTTTTCTAAATACTCACATTTCCAAATTTCTAATATCCCAAATTCTCAGTGTCTTAAATTCCAAATATTCCAAATTCCCAACACCTCAAATTCTCAAGATCCCAAATTCCCAACATCCCAAATTTGTCATATCCCAAATTCCCAATATCCCAAATTTTCAACATCCCACATTTGTCATGCCCCAAATTCCCAATATCCCAAATTTGTCATATTCCAAATTCCCAATATCCCAAATTTGTCATATTCCAAATTTCCAATATCCCAAATTTGTTATGTCCCAAATTTTCAGTGTCTTAAATTCCAAATATTCCAAATTCCCAACACCCCAAATTCTCAAGATCCCAAATTCCCAATATACCAAATTCCCAACATCTCAAATTTGTCATATCCCCAATTCCCAATATCCCAAATTTTCAACATCCCACATTTGTCATGCCCCAAATTTCCAATATCCCAAATTTATCATATTCCAAATTCCCAATATCCCAAATTTGTCATATTCCAAATTCCCAATATCCCAAATTTGTCATGTCCCAAATTCTCAATATTCCAAATTTGTCATATCCCAAATTCCTAAAGTCCTCAATTTCTACATATCTCAAATTCCTAAACTCTTCCTTTCCTAAATGTCCCTATTCCCAAAATCCGAAATTTCCAAATTCCAAAATTTCTAAATGACCAACTGACACATAATAACCATATAAAAAGTACATATACATATATCACTCACTTTGGGCGACGGTTTCCCAACCACGATGCACTCAAACTTGGTAGAAACCCCCTCAGAAACTTTCCTATCCTCGAATTTCTCTTTAAACGTCGGAGCAATTAATTTTTCTTCCATCTGCACGAATTCTTCTTTTCGTCTAAAATCACCCAATGATCTGATCACTAATCTTGCGAAGGCTTTAGCTTCTCCGTGTACATTGGATGCCTTGACCACGAAATTTCCTTTGTCTTCAGGAACCACCGATATGATTCTTAGAATACTAGTGCCATCTTCTTTCCGTTGGATCTGAAACAAATAATTCATATTTTATATATAACAGGAGTTATTATAATTTTATTTAATTAATTTTTAAGGTGAGGTATATGAAGGTGAAGGTGAAGGGGTAGTGAAGGTGTATTTGACAATTTTTGTATTTGGGGGAAGGAATCTTTGGAATTTTGAGAACTCGGGGAGCTAGAAATTTGGGGTGCTAGAAATTTGGGGAGCTAGAAATTTGGGGTGTTAGAAATTTGGGGAGCTAGAAATTTGGGGTGCTAGAATTTTGGGGAGCTAGAAATTTGGGGTGTTAGAAATTTGGGGAGCTAGAAATTTGGGGTGTTAGAAATTTGGGGAGCTAGAAATTTGGAGTGTTAGAAATTTAGGATGCTGAAAATTTAGAGGGGTTGGAAATTTGGGATGCGAGAAATTTGGGGTTTTACAAATTTGGAATGTTGAAAATTTGGGGTGTTGAAAATTTGGAGTTCTCAAAATTGAGACCTTGGAAATTTTGGGTGTTGGAAATTTGGAATGCGAGAAATTTGGGGTGTTGGAAATTTGGGGTTTTACAAATTTGGAATGTTGACAATTTGGGGTGTTGAAAATTTGGAGTTCTTAAAATTGAGACCTTGGAAATTTTGAGTGTTGGAAATTTGGGGTGTTGGAAATTTGGAATTCGAGAAATTTGGGGTGTTGAAAATTTGGGATTCCACAAATTTGGAATGTTGGAAATTTGGGGTATTGAAAATTTGGAGCTTTCAAAATTGAGACCTTGGAAATTTTGGGTGTTGGAAATTTGGGGTGTTGGAAATTTGGAGTATTAGAAATTTGGGGTGTTGGGAATTTGGGATGTTGGAAATTTGGGGTGCTGGAACTTCGGAATTTAAAAAATTTGGGGTATTAGAAATTTGCTAGCTTAAAAATTTAGCGTTTGAAGTATTTTAGCATAAATTTTTTAATTTAGAAATTAGATAGATAGATTTGGGGATTTGAAAATTAAGAAACATAAAAAAATAACTTTTACATCTGAAAGTTAGTCAATTTGTAAATTCCTAAATTTCTAAATGTATAGTTTCATACATTCGTTAATTTGCAAACACAAAAATCCATAAACTAAAAAATATTACTCTTCTGAATTCCAAAATAAAACACAATAAACTACTTCTCCACACAAAATCCACTCCCTCAGATAATTCATCAACGAACATAAAAATAAATTGCAGCCACAGTTTACAATTCCAAATGTACATTTCACAACACGTGTGCATAGTTTCATTTTTTCTCAGAAAATAACAAAAGTTCATAAATAAAGCACATATTTAACGTCGGAGATGAATTCTGCACTTAATAAAGAAAATGTTGATACAACGTTTATTTCAACACTCACTCGGATTCTTTCGCTTTCGTTAATCTCTCCGCTGTCGGAGAACCATTTTAGTTCTGGTTTTGGTTCACCAACTACTGCGCATTCGAAGATTGCGTTCTCTCCTTCGGCTATTAAGGAATCAGTTGGAAGCTTCACGAATTTCGGTGGAGAACCTGTGGCGGTTGTTTCCTTCTCTTCTGGTTTCGTTTTCTCTAAGTCGTGAGAGATAGACACCGCTATAACAGAAATATTTCGAGTTTGGAAGGTTAATTCTTTGACTTGTGGTGAAATTTTTGTTCATTGTTTTTAATATTGACTGTATGGGGATGTAACAATACTTTGAAATTGAAGATCAAGTGAAAAGATCAATAAATAAATAATAAAACATGGATGAATATGCACATTTTTTAGTTTCATAGAAAATAATTTAGAGTTCAAGACAAGTATCTTAACAAACTTTGTAATTTAAAATAAAAAATTGTGTTGAAGTCAGAAACAGATTTCAAGAGAAACATCTTAAAAAATTTCATAATTTAAAATAAAAAAAATGTGTTGAAGTAAGAACCACAGATTTCAAAAGAAGCATCTTAAACAATTTCATAATTTTAAATAAAAACGTCAAAATTTGTAATAGTAGCAAGCATTAGTGATAGTAGCAAAGAAATTTTAATCTTTGACCAAGAATGTGAAGTTTAAACAAGTTCCACGAAGCTTCAAATATTAGTACCATAATACAAAGTATTCCTACATGTTTCACTGTGTTTTCAAATATATTGCATAATAATTTGTACTATTACATAATTTATTACATACGTGTTACTGTTAAGATGCACTGACTAGAAGCTTCGCCGCCCGAGTTAATGGCGACTACTTTGTAAACACCGGCGTCGTCCAAGAAAGCCTCATGAATGAGCAAAGAGCACTTGTCACCTTGAAACAGCAGCTGAAAATCGGCTGATTCTTTCACTGGTTGATCATCGTGGTACCAAATCACCTGTAAGAACATTGCACATATTTAATAAAACAAGTAACAAAGATAAACTGAATAAAATAGCTCTATATGAAAACCAAGGTAGAGCATTTCAAGTTAGACGAGTTTGATCTCATTTAAGTGCATAAAGTACTTTTTCCATAGAAAAGGATATAATATTACAGTAAATTGAGTATATTTGAAAGTTTTTGCACCTTCATTTAATTTTGACTCTAATTGAACAAACGCTCAAACCCATCACTACTTTGCTTTAACTTACAGCTGTACCTGATATATCAGTATAGTTATCTATATCTTGTGTAGATGTTATTTATATCTTTTGTAGAAGATGTAGACTCATTTTGTGAATCTAAAGGACTCATAAAGATCTGTATAACAATTTTACACTCGTCTCTGTGAGTCTAAAAAGCTCACCTTACGAAGGTCCTTACAAGAGTCCTCACCTTACAGGAGACCTTGTGTGCAAGGTTATACTAGTATAAAGTTTATACTAATATCTATACCTAACATAATAATATACTAATACCTAACATAACACAATAATACACACTAATATCTAATATTATAATACAGTACAAAATTAAAAAGAAAATATAGAGAAATTAGAAATAACTTACCTCAGGTTCAGGTTGCCCCACAATAACGCAATCCAACCGCACAGATCGACCCTCCTGCACCTTCAAATCCTTCAAAGGCATCTGAATCTTCGGAACCACGGGCTCCATATCGCTGCCCGCGAATTCAGAATCGCTGGTTTCGTGCGGAAGTCGTCCTTTTACCGAAACGTTGCAAGACACCGTAGCCTCGCCAGCATCATTCTTCGCGACGACCATGTAACATCCCGCATCCTTCGCGAACGCCTCCGAGATGATCAAACTACTCCTTCCGCTGTCCGTTTGTATCTGAAACAATAACGGGTCCCGGCACCCTGAGCTCTATGTTTCAATTCTTCGTTTTCCTCGCCTCGTTGCTTTATTTCGAATTCGGCGCGTGCAAGGCACTAAAAATACACCGGCTGTCCCTTTGCGAGCGAGAGGAAACGTTTTCGTTAAAAGGCACTTTGTTACTTTGTTCGGATGGGCTCGAGTAGGTTTAATAAAGGATGCATGCTTTTTATGGGGATGCTTGTTTATGGGGCGCTTGGGGTTCTGAATTTTATGGGGATGATTTAAAAATGGTGTCGGAGGAAATATTTGATGGAGGCTGAAACTGATAGAAATGTGAATTGTTTTTTTTTGAGAAAGGGATTTTTGGATTTTATTAGTGGGTAGTTTTAGTAGGAAGATTTATGATATTTATAGAATTGGAAAGTTGTAAAATATGCTATGTTAAATTAATTATTAATGAATTTGGTTACTAATTATTTTTATTAAGTTCAGTGTATTGTGAGCAACCTATTCAGAGTTAGAATATGAGTTTCAATTTGAAATTTAATTATTTGTATTTCAAACTAAGATTTGTATGAAATAGATATGAAGTAGATATCTTCTAAAAATTTTATAACAAGGTTCAGCACCATGAAATATGTAGATAAATTTTTATTTAATACTTTGACTGTTATTTTGCTACTGAAAGCATTTGAAGAACCAAATAAGTATTAAATATTATAATAAATTTATGACAAAAATCATTAGTCAAGGTTTACCATGAATAGTGACTTAAACTAGAATCTAGTGAGACTTGAATCTAGAGATACTTATTAAACAACATAACTGCAGTTGTAATAATTTTCAATTACTACAATTGAGAATTTTTAGGGTTTTTGAATATTGTACCTTCAAGTTCATGGTTTCTTCAACTGGTCGGCCATCATGGTACCATGTCAATGTGGGCATGGGTTTTCCCCTTACTTCGCATTCGAGTTTCACCCTTTGACCTGCTCTACCCATGGCGTTCGACAGAGGCGTAACGAAATATGGCTTCTCTGTGGAAACCTCTGAACCTGTAATTTTACAAAATCCTATTAACTCAATGCACAATTCAAAAAATTATTTTATTATATAATTAGTCATTTTAAAACTGCAATTTGACAAAGTTCAAATAAATTAAAGTTATCTCTAAATTTGCAATGTATAATAAATTTATTGACGCTATCACTAAAGTCAAGGACAAGTCATTAATCATTTTTCTTTTTAATAAAAATATGAATTCATTTTTAGACGTATACCAAGTTACACTGAATTCTCAGCTTTTTCATGAAGCATCGATTTAAGTAGACTGCAAATATATCTGCACTTAACAATATTTAAATGTTAATAAATACTCTCATTAACAATATTTAACTACTAATAAATATTGTCAATATTTAAGCAACACCACAAATATTAACAATATATAAATTAAACAATATATCAAAAATATTGTTAACCCCTAAACAATACCACAAATATTAACAATATTCAACGAACAAAATGTACTCACGTTGCACATTAAGAGAAGCAGAAGTCGAAGCCTGCCCCAATCGATTAGTCGCCTTACACATGTAAATAGCCTTGTCTTCCGGGAACACTTCTTCGAATTTTAGAACAGCTTCACCATTATTGTACGTAATTATATAATCCGGTGAGTTATCGATGTTAATATCGTTTTTGAACCATTGAACCGTTGGCAAAGGATTACCCTCGACGACGCAATCCATTTGATGGGAGGAACCCTCCATCGCTGTCGATGGCACTAATTCTTTCACGAATACTGGAGGACTTGGTTGTTCTTCGGGTGCTGTTTCTAAACAATTCAATAGAAATATCCAATTTGTTATTACAATACTTAGAATTTGTTACAAATGAAAAATATTTCACTTTTAGTGTTTAATATAACTTTCATAATTTACAAATTAGAAAGTTTAAAGAACTTTTGATTAATCAGATTCCTCAACTCATCAACTATATTTCGCACTACACACATTTTACTACAAATATTAAATCTCTAAAACAATAATTATATAACAAAATTGCAATACCTTTAACAGTCAACGTCGCCGACGTCTCAGCCGACCCAGCGATATTAAAAGCTCTGCAAGTGTATTTCGCAGAATCTTCCGCAAAAGTCTCCTCGATGGTCAGAGTGCAGACATTACGAACATAAGTCGTCAAATAATCAGGATTATTCAGAATTGAAATTCCATCCTTGTACCAAACCACTTCTGGCAATGGATGACCAACGAGATTACACTGGAACGAGAATTTCTCACCCTCTTGCACTGTCGCGTCGTTCAAAGGAACCGTAAATTCTGGCGCTAATGGCGGTACGTCTTTTTCTATCTTCTCGAACGTTTTCTCTTGAGATTCTTCCGTCACGATTTTCTTTATGGGACTTGGTTCGCGTTGGACCGATGGTACTGTCTTTTCGATCTCCGTCTGCAATCGATTTAGGAACATTCTTAGTTTATCATGAATGCCTTCTTTAACACTAGGTTTACGGACATTTCTTATATACCTATCTCTACCAACACGCGTCAATTTGACGCACGAACGAATACATATTAAAGAAAAACAACCACTTAGAATATAATTAAACACTACAAGTAAGAAATGAAAATATGAAATATTTATAGAAAGTTTTTATTATTCAATAATATTTTAGCACATTACTTCGATACTCTACATTCATATTTTTACTTCCCTCTACCCTGCGAACTGTGATTTGTACTGCGACGCCGGGTCCGAACCCGCCATACCGGCTGAGCCGGCCGCGTGCGACTCCGGACTAGCGAAGTCCGTTGTTTATAAGGTATTGTCGGTGCATTCATATTTATTATTGTTGTAATTTTTGCCTGGGTAAAACTAATTTACTAGAAATTTTATTTACATTACGACCGCGTGAAATTGACGCTCATCCGTAGAGATAGGTATACCACATAGCAAATTTCAATATTTCAAAGCTTGTGAAGAAAATAGACTTCAATATATATTTACCTTGTTCAATGGATAAAAGTCAGTACAGTAAAATAAAAATGCAAACGGTATTTGTAATTTTCCTAAAAAAATTCGAAACGCCTTACCTTTTGCAAAATATGTATCTCCTTCGTAGTAACAGCAGAAGTAACAGTCTCCTGAATATAATTTTCGTCGATCTTCTCAATTTTCTCAGTCTGCGCCGACACAGAGAACGATGGAGGCGCCATAGTTTGAGCCTCCCTTTCTTCCCTCACTTTCTTCGCTTCGCTCGCTGCCTTTTCCATAGTCTCAGCCGCCAACTTCTCAGCAATTTTCCTGGCATTCTCCGCTTCCTGTCTTGCCGCCGCAGCAGCAGCCATCTCCACTTTGGCGGCTTGTAACTTCTCATCAGCCTCCTGTTTCTCGATTCTTAGTTTCTCTTGCAAGTCTTCGGCGTTCTTCAAGTTCTGAACTAACGTACGAAGCTCGGATGAAACGACCGCGAAAGAGTCCAACATTTGACGATTTTCTACTATCACCTCGTTGAACTGGGGCAATCTCTCGGTACCTGATGTAACATTCGAAATTTTCAGGCGATCTTTGAGTTATTGTCTCTACCGAAACTTTGTGTTCTACCAGAAACTATTTTAGTTTGAATACGAGGATGGAGTCGAAAGATACAAGATTTTAAAATTGAATGGTAATTGATAAAATAGATAAATAAGAAGTGGATAATAATTGATAAAATAAGTTAATAATAAATGAGCAATAATTGACAAGATTCATTAAGGTAATTAACATAAATCAAGAATAAGTGGCTAATAATTGATAACATGAATTAATAATAAATGAATGACAACTGATAACGTGAATTAATAATAAGTGAACAATAATTGATAACATATATTAAGGTAGTTAAAATAAATCAAGAGAAAGTGGATAATAACTGATAACATAAATCAGTAATAAACGGACAAAATAAATGAATAATAATAGATAACAAACAACAATTGATAATATGAATCAATAATAAGCGAACTGACAAATTAAATGAATAATAAACGAATAATAACAGATAGAATAAATCAGTACAGAATAATAAATGATATAAGAAACGAAAATAATAATTTAAATTTACCAAAAACGATGGTTGAGAGTTCCTTCAACTTCTCAATTCTCCTTTCCTGCACTTCTTCCCCGGGTTTCAAATAATTCTCAATTTCATGAAGCAAATCGGTTGCATCTTGTGGAGCCTTCACCATAGTAGCTTTCCTCGCAATCACTATTAATAATTTACTACCCTCTTTATTCCATTCTTTAGCCTCCTCCAAAAGCACGAAATAATCGATGCACAGGTTCATTCGCTTCTTTGTGTCTTCCATTTTCTTCTTCAGACTCCGCCATCTTTCTTGCAGCGAGGAGATGTCCTCCGTTATTTGAGGCGTTAGAACCTTGATTGACTCTTCTGTTGTTTTTATGAACTTCTCGATTCTTTCTTCTAGTATCTGTGAACGGTGAATATTTATTGTTTGAAAGGATGAGAATTATCTTTGTTGTGTTTTAGGTATAAGAGTAACTACAGTATAAGTCATCAAGCATTTTTAAATTAAATAATCGAATATTTAATATTAGTTATGAAGATTAGTTATACATGTCAAGTTATGCATTTAAGTATAACTAGTTACTATGATAAATATTTAAGTAATAACAATTAATACTTAAAAATTGAAAAGATAAGAAAAATTTGTTATTTCTTCTAAAATTTTTACACTGAAAACATCAATTGCTATTATTAAATTTAATATACTATAAAATGTGCAATACTTCATTGACAATATTTTGTAAATAAAAGTGCAATATTTCAACGAATTTATACAAATTCAAAAACAATTTTCTACAAATAAAAGTGCTTCAACATTCTCACTTACCAACTTGTCTGCACTTTCTACGTTCAGCACAAATATTCAACAAACACATTAAATATCTAACATTCTGCTAATAGTAAAACAAGGGTCTCAAAACAGTTTACTTCTAAAACTACCCTTACCGTGACAGTTTTCTCAAATTGCACAAAAGAAGCAGCAGTGCCCTTCGCAGTCTGAAGATTCTCTCCCATTCTAGCATCCACATTCTTCAAGTGTTCGTTCAAGTCCTTCAATTCAGCATCGATCCTCTCCAAATCCTCAGCAAAGTTACAAGTTCTTCGATACTCCTCAACCTTGGTAGTCGTTTGCGACCAGAATATCTCAAAGTCAGTCGTCAAGGAATCCAAAGCTCGTCTGAGCTTCTCGATATCTTTGACACCAGCCTCCGGTGGTTCCTGTTGCTTGATTCTAGCGATCGCGTCCTGCACTTTCAGTCTGATTTGACCTAATCGATCTGTGATGGACCATTTCATGGCGTCGATCTCGCTGAACGCTGCTTCCACCTCGAAAACTTTCTTCAGGGTCGTCACTCGTTCCACTTGCACTTTCAGTTGTTGGATTTTGTGCTCCACCTTTGGGGAAATTTTTGTTATTGAGTTTCATTTGGAGTTTGGGAGTTTTGAGATTGATTTGGAGTTTGAGAGTTTTGAGTTTGATTTGAAATTTGAGAGGGTTACCTCTTCGATGCTTTGGAAAATGGCGATTAGGGACTCGAGGAGGATCTCGTAATCTCGCGCTGTTTTGCGGAGGTCCTCGTGCATTTGGTGGAGCCTCTTCAGGATCTCTTCGTCGACGTGCACTTCACCTAATTTGAAATTTTATGTATTTTTACTATTTTTATATTAACAGCAAGTTTTGGTAACGTGAGTTCAAAATTAAAATTCAAATCTGATTTAGACAAAACTAATCAATAACTGATAAATTAGCTATTAAATTTAAAAATATATATGAATAATACAGTGAATAAAATGTAAATTAAAATTAACGTAGCCTACAAAAATGACAAAATAGTATAACTATACAAACTATATTTGTATATGAATAATAATGTATATTAACATATTTATGCTTCATCATTTTCAGTTAACATAACAAATTTATACTACATCAAAATTAATTTTCTTTAATAAAAGAGCAAGTAAAATTACTCCAAGTCTAAAATAAATGTACCCCTAATTAAAAAATAATTTAGACATTCAAGTTTCTTCAAATTACAAATAACAAGTTTTAATATTATTAAACTTGAGAGTTTCAAGCAATATTTTCTTTTGAAAGATATTTGTGTACCTTTTTGAGCAGATGTATTGATTCCTTTGATTCTACTATCCAACTCATTGACAGCTTTATTCAACTCAGGAAGTATGCGTTGTTTCGATCCATTCAAATCTCTCAGAATTATGACTGTTTCAATAGACTCTGACATTATGACAGGATACAGTTGTTCGCTGAATTTCGAGACCCATTCTAAAGTCTGAATAAATATAGTAATAGCAATTAATATAAGTTTGAGATCTCAGAATAATGAAATTTCGAATAAATTAATGAGAGGAAGTACCCTAGTGCTTTCTTCAATTTTTCGTTCATGCTCGATGCGTCTTTCTCTTAAAATTTCAATCGTGGTCCGCCATTTTTCCCAGGACTCTGTCACGGTTAGTTGTCTGTTGGCGAATTTTTCTAGCAAAGTTTGAACGCAGAGGCAGGCTCTTGGCACGTCTAGATAGGGATCGTCGATCTAAAAAATTATTTACTTTCTTAAAAATTAGTAAGTAGTAGCAAAAAGACGAATATTTTTAATAACTTTTTTGATAATGAAATTTTTTAATAATTACAATTTTAAAAATGTAGAAAGACAATTCTGATGTTTATGTTCATATACAAAATATTCTACAAAATATATATTTTGTATAATATATATTTACATATACATGTAAAGCAATAATTTTTTAACAAATTATGTATCATGTTAGATAACATGAAATAATAAAAAATATGAAACTTCAAGTTGAAGAAAATTCGAACAACTAACAGCAAATTATTGAACAAAATATTTAACATAATCAATAATAAAATGTGTTGTAAAAAGAACTATTTATAACTTCCTACCAAATTACGAACACTGTTTTCAAAAACAAAAAATAATAAAAAGTAAGAAGTTTCAAGTTGTAAAAAATGACTCGAACTAATAGCAAATTATTGAACAATAATAACAAATAATGGTTGTAAAAATAACTATTTACAATTTTCTATCAAATTTCGCCATTTTCAAAAACAAGAAATAATAAAAAAATAAAAAACTTCAAGTTTCAAAAAATAGCTCAAACAACCAACTTAAACAAACTTTACCAAATACACCTACAGGTAAATATCAATTTAAAAATAAAACAATACCTTCATAGCAGCATCCAAAAATGCTTTCCCACTCCCCGTCAGTTTCACATAAAGCGGCTGTAAGTCCTTCCACCGTCTCCCAAGTTCCTCAACCTTTCCCTCATCCAAAACATCAGCGTTCCTCTTCAACTCGCTCTCTATCGACTCAACCTCTTTCATCAATTCCTCAGCAACCACATGAAATTGCAAATAAATAGATCCAAGCTCGATTCTATTAGCCACAAGCTCCTTCGTCTTCGACCAAGAACGTTCAAGTTCCTCGACCTTTGATCGCAACTCCGCTTTCTGCGACTCCTCCAGTTTCTCTCTGATGGGGAGAATCTCGAATTCCAAATGTTCGACCTCCTCCGTTCTTCGTTCGAGATCGTTCAACAGTTGACGATGCAGTCGACAGAAGTCGTCCGCCATTGCTGCGTTGCTACCCATATCTTGGTGACCTTGAAGAAACGCTTCCGGTATGTTCATCAACCATTTTCTTAGCTCGTCGTGTTTGTCTAGGAACGTGTTTATTGTTCTGGATATTTCGAGGTTCTCTTTTTCGTGAGCGGTGCAGCGTTCCATTAAGCGGATTTTGCGGTTTTCGAGTTCTTCCACGGCGCGTTTGACTCCCTGATGAACAAAATGGCGGATTTCGAATATAGGGAGACTCAACAGCAAGTTTTAGTAGCGTGAGTTTCGAAATTGAAATTCAAATCTGATTTAGGTAAAATTAATCAATAACTGATAAATTAGCTAATAAATTTTAAAAAATATACAAATAATAAAACATTCATTTATAGATTAAATCTACAGGGTGTTTCACAACTAGTAGGTCCCTAAAATGTTGGGTAGCTGAAGCGATTCAGACATTACAAAATTGAGGCACAAAAATATTAACAACTGAGAGTCTCACAGAAATGAAATTTCTTTACGAAGAAAGTCTATGAGAAAGGAATTTAAACCGGCAATATAGCGAGAGCATATTAGAACCACGTCTCTCTTTATACTCTTCAGATCCAAATATTTGTCCAAAAATTTTTTAACACATTCACAATAATTTTTGAGCATCAAACATGTTTTTAGCAATTCATTTTAATTCCTTAACACAATTTTTGTTTTTAAAAATTGCTGTTTATACAGAAATATTATATTGTTTATATAAAATTGTTATTTGAATAAAATATTTTAACGAAGTTGTTTAATGAAGTTATTTTAGAGAATGGGAAGAAACAGGTAAAAATTCAGAGAGAATAAATTGAACTTCGTCGAGCGAACGTGTAGAAGTTCATTAAATATCAATGAGTGGGACGATTAAATGTCAAGAAAGATTTATCGATCGAACCTCAGCACCAGGCGCTCCTCTTCCTGTGATGTCCAAAAGGGCGTATCCTTCCGTCAAAGGTTTCGAAGTGACATCTTCGATGGTTTGAACCGTCTGAGCATGGAAACGAGCTAATCTTGTTGAATATGGTGGATGTTCGGTTGTCACCAACTGAATCTCCAATTGATCCAGTTTCGTGATTGCCTGTGGAACAGTTCTCGATCAATTGTTCGATCGATTGGTACTTTTGAATTATTGCTTTATTATTACTTTCTTCAGACAATTGTTCTATACTTCCACGTTTTCAAATTGTTACATTTATAAATTATTGAAGCTTTAAGTTTGAAGATTTGAAAATTTAAAAATATTAAACCTTGATAATTTTATAGTTTTAAAGCTTGAGAGCTGGAAAACTTGAAAATTTAACAATCTGATTATGGTCTGAATTTGAGAATCTGAGAATTTAAAAATCCAAAAGTCTAAAAATCAAAAGATCTAAAAATGCAAGAACCTTGGAATCTAAAGATCTAAAAATATAAAATCTCAAAAATGTGAAAATGTGAAAATCTGTAAAATCTGTAAAATCTGTAAAATCTGTAAAATCTGTAAAATCTGTAAAATCTGTAAAATCTGTAAAATCTGTAAAATCTGTAAAATCTGTAAAATCTGTAAAATCTGTAAAATCTGTAAAATCTGTAAAATCTGTAAAATCTGTAAAATCTGTAAAATCTGTAAAATCTGTAAAATCTGTAAAATCTGTAAAATCTGTAAAATCTGTAAAATCTGTAAAATCTGTAAAATCTGTAAAATCTGTAAAATCTGTAAAATCTGTAAAATCTGTAAAATCTGTAAAATCTGTAAAATCTGTAAAATCTGTAAAATCTGTAAAATCTGTAAAATCTGTAAAATCTGTAAAATCTGTAAAATCTGAAAAATCTGAAAAATCTAAAAAATCTGAAAAATCTAAAAATCTAAAAATGTAAAAGTCTAAAAATCTAAAAATCTGAAAAATCTAAAAATCTAAAAATCTAAAAGTCTAAAAATCTAAAAATCTAAAAGTCTAAAAGTCTAAAAATCTAAAAATCTAAACATCTGAAAATCTAAAAATCTAAAAATCTAAAAATCTAAAAATCTAAAAGTCTAAAAATCTAAAAATCTGAAAAATCTGAAAAATCTAAAAATCTAAAAAGGAGCTAATCACGAGCAATGTTCCTATCACACAAATAACCGATAAGATTAAAAAAAAGAAAGGCCAAGTGCATCGGGTCAACGCTCACCGATCGAGCCGAATCGAAGAAGGCTACGGCTCTGTTCAACAGCGACTCATACTGATCCAAATCGTTGACATAATCAGCAGCGGCGCCGAGAATCGCGTACGCTTGTTCCGTCGCTTGTTCGCCGGCAAAGTGTCCCGATGACACTAATCGTTCGGTTGACTTCGTTATTTTGATCGATCTGTCTTGAAATTCCTGTAAGTTTCAATAAAACCAGTTGATAAACGTTTTAATTATTAAGGTAAAGTAAATCTCTTCATAGAAGTCATGTAGTATATAAATAAAATACATCAATATAAGTCTTGTAAAAATACAAAAGAATATAGTGAATCGCACTGCAGCTGGCACCAGAAGAATGAAGAAAAGATGCAATATAGTATATAAATAAAATACATCGATACAAGTCTTGTAAAAATACAAAAGAATATAGTGAATCGTACTGGAGCTGGCACCAGAAGAATGAAGATATAATTAAAAGATATAATGATATAAAAGATATAAAAGATATAATTCTTGCAAAATCAGAAAAGAATACAGTGAACTGTATTGCAACTTGCATTACCATGAAGAATAAAGAAAGGATCATACATCAAAATAAAATTTTAAAGAAATTACACTTTCAATTAGATCTCTAATTGCACTTTCCATTAAATTTCTATTTGCATTTTCAATTAAATTTCTACCTGGATTACCAACTATACTTATAAGTGCATTATTAATTATATTTCTCATTACATTATAAGTAACATTTTCAAAAAAGAAAGTTCCGTTAAAAAACAGAATACACAGTGTTGAGCAGATGAGAAATCAGCAACACAGAGAAAGACAGAGGCAAGAAAATTAAGATTCCAAAAAGAAGAAGCTACAATGTGGAATACTAACGATTTCCAAGAAATCGATTAACCAAGAAGAAGCAAGAAGTGAAACAGTACTGCGAGAATCATAATTTATAGCGACATTTATCACACAGTATGCCTGTCATGATTCACAGCGACACAATTACAGCTTCGTTTCAAGGTGATTTAAGATTAAGGTTATTCAATTGGAATCAAACGCCATAACACAATTGTGGAATAATTACGGAATCGATTTGTCTAATAATACTGCTTCAGAAGAGAAAATATCCAAAAATATAAAGAGTTAAGATTGTTATATGACAACAATAATCTTTCAGTATTAACCCCTTTCCGTACTTTCACGAGTCTCGACGCACTTACTACTCAAATGTGACAAACGTTACTCAAATTTTGAATACTCTTTAACTTGAAATTTAGGTGCAGCTATAAATTGCATTATCAAAGATCCCTGAATATAAAATACGCACAACATTTTAATTTTCTTTGTTCGTTTTAACCCCTTGCACTATTTTGACGAGTCAGACTCGACGCACTCATACTTCGACCGTGATCAATTTTACTCGAATTTTTAGTACGCTTCAATTTGAAGTTCAAGTCCAATTATAATTTGCATAGTCAACGATTGCATAATAACATATTGACATAACATTTCACATCTTTTTGCCTGTATTAATATTGTAGCTCTAATTAGTCAGTTCTGACTGACGCACCTGACAAATAAGCCATAGCGCAAGAGGTTAATGTTATAGCCCTGATTAGTTAGTTTTGGTTGACACATCTAATAAATAAACGACACGGGAAGGGGTTAAAGAATAAAACATTAGAATACCTTGGCTTCGGCTTGTAATTTCTTCAGCTCGAAAAGGAGCAATTCCGCACTGGACGCGGAATCTCCAAGCTGATCGCAGCTGCTAGATAAAGCAGCGATTCTGTCGTTTAGGATCTCTTCAAGATCGCGTAGATCGGTCGCTAACAGAGCTAGAGCCAGGCATTGTTCCAACTGTGTCTTTCTGCTACGAAATGATGCCTCGATCAAACGTCGTCTGTCGTGCAGTTCTTCTAACCACTTTTCCACTTTCAATACGGCTGTAATTACATAACAAAAATATTTGCTGCAATACTACTTTCTTTAAATTTAGTCGATGTTCAGAAATTTATAAGTTTAGATATTTTTGATTACTTTCAATGAACAGTTATCATATATATTTGAATTATTTTCAGTAAACAATTTTGTACGACATCTAACCCTGCGTTTTATTACATTAGCCTTTTATTACATTACATATATGAAAAATTACATATGTTAAAATATAAATATTAAAAATCGCATATACAATTCTTTAAAATATTGTTGCAATCCTGCTTTTTTTAAATTTAGTTGATGTTCAGAAATTTACAAGTTTAGATATTTTGGATTACTTTCAATGAACAGTTATTATACATTATTATATTACAATTATTATATATGGATTATTTTCAGTAAACAATTTTGTATGAGATCTAATCCTGTATTTTATTACATAAGGCTTCATATATGAGAAATCACATATGTTAAAATATGAGTATATAAAATATTGCATACACAATTCTTTATCATCCCTTTTTTTAGAGAGAAACACAAGTCACGAGAAACCCTGTGTATTTCATAATTAATGGTGTAAAATTTTCAAACCTACAATTCCTCAAAATTGCATTCTCTCAAAAATTGAAATTAAAAAATGTCTATACTCAAAAAATTTGTAAACTCAATATTTTACATTCAACTCCCAACTATCACCTACATCTAAAACCTCATACACCCCCCGCCCCTAAAAAAAAATAGAAAAAAGAGGAAAACAGATCACCCATTAACTAAATTGCTAAAAATCATGAAATCTATAAATTCCTCCAACGAACACCAAAAATACCAAAAAGTCAAAGATATAACAAGAATAACCCGTCGCAACTGAAGCAACAAACGTTATTCAATTACTTGCTCTTATCCCCGTACTCGTAATCGCATACCAAACCGGAGCGAAAGGAACACATCAATTATGTCATCGATAAAAAGGAAAGGTAAAGCAGCGTGGAAAGAAAACAGTGACATTGGATATAATCGAGCGTTTTTCAAAGGAAATCATTAATTACTGCCGCTCACCGTGATCAGCTTCGAGCTTAATCCTGTCGGGTCTGGAATCCAAAGTGCCTTCGTTCGCGATCTCCTTCAATCTGTCCAATAAATTCTTTCCTTCTTGCAAAGCGCCCATCAACGCCTCTAACATGTTCTTCCGAAGATCGTGGATCTTTGACAGAAAGTTCTTCACCGCCTCGATTTCGATTGGGAGTAGGGTGTCGTTGCAGGCCATTTCGAGGGCTCTCATGCTTTCTCGACACTCCTCTGCTCGGCTAATTAAATAAATGTGAGGTGGATTATACAGAAATTTATTTAATTTAATATTTAATATGGGTAACTTGTTTTAGTATGATTGCGAGAAGAAGTTGGGAATTATGTTTAAGAGATGTGAGTTGAGGATATGAGTTAAGGATGTGAGTTAAATTTGTAGAATATAGGTGAAGGATATGAGCTGAGGATGTCAGTTAAATTTTAAAGATATGAGTTGAGGATGTGAGTTAAATTTGTAGAATATGGGTAAAGGATACGAGCTGAGGATGTCAGTTAAATTTTAAAGATATGAGTTGAGAATATCAGTTAAATTTCAAGGATATGTGTTAAGAATATGAGCTGAGGATGTCAGTTAAATTTTAAAGATATGAGTTGAGGATGTGAGTTAAATTTCAAGGATATGGGTGAAGGATGTATATTCATTCATTTACTTTACTTTCATTATTAGTCCATCATTCTTATCCAATTAGTTCATTATTCATATGAAAAGATGTTCTTAGAGAAAATTAAGAATTGGGACCCTTGAAATATTCTGTTGTACTCGGGCGCCTTTGACAAAATGGCCGACTCGAGAATCAAAATGGACGCCCACAGTGTGTGGACTTAACCAGTTACAGTTTGCAAACTTTACTCATTAATGTATTAACAAATTAATATTAAATATTAATGAATTAATGTTAAGTATTAATATACTAATACATCTTATCTTATTAATATATCATTAATGTTAAGAATTAATACATTAATACTTAACATTAATACTTAATACTTAATATTAATAAGTTTTAATTAATGTTAAGTATTAATGTATTAATGTATTAATTCTTAACATTAATTAAAACTTATTAATGTTAAGTCGAAATTTCATAAATATTTTAACTATTTAATTTTGACTATTTTAACAATTTAACTATTAAATTGAACACAAAAGCAATTCATTTGTACGTTAGTTTGTAGACTATTTTAACGACACGATTCATTCCGGTCTGATGCCTTTACGAACCGCTGAAACAACACGACAATTCATCCCGTTCGCGGTCTGATGATCGTACGAACCATTGAAACAACACGTTACAGTCGAGAATTTGTTTTCGTCGCTCCAAAAGCTCGTTCACGTCCCTCCATGCTTGGCCCAACGTTTCCGCCATCGCGGCGTAGACTTCCGCTCTTGGCCTTTGGTTCGAAATCAACTGATCAGCCTGTCGGAGTAATTCTTCCACCGGGCTCTGTTTGCTCTTTTAATCACAAATTCATTTTTTTTTTATTACGTAAACAGTTTGGGTAAAAAGTTAACAAATTTTTTGTTGGGTCATTTGAAGATGAATCATACATGTTTGAATAATTTATTTTTTATAGGATTTCATGAGACAAATTTAACAAAATTTCTTTGATGAACTTGAAATTTGATGAAATGACAACGAAGGTATAAAAAAATTGATACAATGACATTGTTGTCGAAGTGTTTTATAAAATACATAAAATATTTTTCAATTTTAGAAAGAAAAGGAAGGTAAGGATGTAGAAATGCAAGAATACAAAAATGCGGAGGTGTAGAAATGAGGAAATATAAAATGTAGAAATGTAGACATACAAAATGATAGAGATATAAAAATATAGAAGCTTATTATAGATGAAGTATATGGATGAAGAATTGAAGATATGTAGAAATGTAGAACTGTAGAACTGTGGAAGAGTAAAGATGTAGTAACAAAGAAATTGTAGAAGTGCAGAAACAGAAGTAAAGTACAAATGACAAAGTGAAGAAATATAGAAATGCATAAATATAGGAATGTAGAAGTGTCCACATGGAAAAGTGAAAAAAGTGAAGAAATATTGAAACTAAAAATATGGAAATATAGAAATGCAGCAATACCCAAATATAGAAATCTAAAAATGTAGAAATGAAGAAATGCAGCAAAATCCAAATATAGAAATCTAAAAATGTAGAAATAAAGAAATGCAGCAAAATCCAAATATAGAAATCTAAAAATGTAGAAATGAAGAAATGCAGCAAAATCCAAATATAGAAATCTAAAAATGTAGAAATGAAGAAATGCAGCAAAATCCAAATATAGAAATCTAAAAATGTAGAAATGAAGAAATGCAGCAAAATCCAAATATAGAAATCTAAAAATGTAGAAATGAAGAAATGCAGCAAAATCCAAATATAGAAATCTAAAAATGTAGAAATGAAGAAATGCAGCAAAATCCAAATATAGAAATCTAAAAATGTAGAAATGAAGAAATGCAGCAAAATCCAAATATAGAAATCTAAAAATGTAGAAATATAATAATGCACCAATACCCAAATATAGAAATCCAAAAATGTAGAAATATGGAAATGTAGCAATACCCAAATATAGAAATCCAAAACTGTAGAAAGATGGAAATGTAGCAATACCCAAATATAGAAATCCAAAAATGTAGAAATACAGAAATGCAGCAAAATCCAAATATAGAAATCTAAAAATGTAGAAATATAGAAATGTACCAATACCCAAATATAGAAATCCAAAAATGTAGAAATACAGAAATGCAGCAAAATCCAAATATAGAAATCTAAAAATGTAGAAATATAGAAATGTACCAATACCCAAATATAGAAATCCAAAAATGTAGAAATATGCAAATGTAGCAATGCCCAAATATAGAAATCCAAAAATGTAGAAATAAAAGACTGAAAAAATGAAGAAAAGAAAAAATACAAAAAAGTAGAAATAAAAAAGGAAAAAATGAAGAAATGAAAAAGTACAAAAATGTAAAAATAAAAGAGTGAAGAAATGAAGAAATATCAAAATAGAAATGTCAAGAATATACTAACTAGCTAAATTATCCTGCTACCCAAAACTAGAGTTAAATAAATAATTAAAGCATGTACCTGCAATCGAAGTAAAACTTCGTCGTGTGCAGTCGACAACTCGGTAGCTTCCTCCACAGAAGCCCCGAGCTTCGTTAATTCTGGTTGAACCTCCAGAACCTTCAGTCTCAGCCATTCCCCGCTCTAAATCAGGAACAAACAGAGAAAAATATATGCACGTTAATTATCTTTTCAACGATAAGGAACACGTATATCTCGTTCATACAATAATATTTGCTAGCAATTTGCCGCCGTTTAAAAAAAAAAAACGTAAAAGGCAACGGTCATACACCATCGAGACCAGTAATGCTAAACTAGTCGTCGACTTCCATTTTAGGAATCGTACGAGACGATCTGAAAACGGACTAGCTGTTGGATCAAGTCGCGAAATGGGAACGAGAATTTTATTCGTCTGTACTAGGCTGACCTAATTCCAGCAAACTTTCCTTTTATGATCTGTTTGTGTCGTAAATATTGCATTCGTTCTGGGCACTTCCTTGATTCGCGATTTACTTGCTTGCAACATGATTAGATAATATGATGGATATATTATGCAAATTTTTTGGTTTTATAAAGTTTCAATTTATTTAATATTCATCTTGATAAATTATTGATTTCTCAATTTATCTAAGTGTTGGATTGTTGAATTATCAAGTTGGAGAATTGGGGAACTGTGGAATTATGGAATTGTGGAATTGTACTATTGTGGAATTGTGGAATTGTGGAATTGGGGAATTGGGAAATTGGGCAATTGGGAAATTTGGAGAATTGGGGAATGGAAAAATGAAGGAATTGAGGAAGTGGGGAATTGAGGAATTGGAGTATTAGGAAATTGGGGGATTGAGGAATTGGGGAATTGGGGAATTGAAGAATTGGGAAATTGGGAAATTGGGAAATTGGGAAATTAGGGAATTGAACAATTGTGCAATCGTGCAATCGTCAAATTATGGAATTGTGGAATTGGCGAATTCTGAAATTGCGCAATTGTGGAATTGTGGAATTGCGAAACAATGAAATTGTGGAATTGTAGAATTGCGAAACAGTATAATTGTGGAATTGACGATTGACAATTCTTCAAATTGTCAAATTGCCAAATTGTCATTTCTTCAAATTTCCAACTTGTCAATTCCTCAATTTTTCGATTCTTCAATTCATCAATTCATCAATTCATCAATTCATCAATTCATCAATTCTTCAATTCTTCCATTCTTCAATTCTTCAAATATTCAAATTTTCAATTCTTCCATTTGTCAATTTTTCAATTCTCTGAGTTTTCAATTCTTCAAATTTTCTACTTGTCACCGAGTCAATTTCTCAACTTGTTAATTTATGCACTTGTCATATTTCTAATTCTACAAATTTCAATTTTTCGAGTTGTCAACTTATTACATTGTTGACTCGTCCACCACTCCAATTTTCAATTCTTCAGTCATTCATTACTCCATTTTTCCACCTTCTCAATTATTCAGCACTTCAAATACGCAAACTCTCAATTTCCTGAATCCGAGAGTTTATAAATCTTTAATTTACTTAAAATGTTCAAGCCGACAAGCAGAAATTTACAAATTCACAAATTCACAGGTTCTATACATTGTCTCAAACATCAAACATTTAAAGCTCCCTATTGTTCTGGATCCATTTTAAACAGCTTTCAAATTGAATAGAGAACAAACCAGCATTGAACAACTATTTCGCCTATGTTTGTTTATCAAACAATCCAAAATACCATCGACCCAGTTTCTTTTCCTCCAACCCAATCCGAAAGCTAGCTTGTAAATTTCTGACCGGTGAAAATAATTGCTGTTCGAAACAAATTAATGAGCTAATAAACAGATAACCACCGACGATTCCCATAATTAATTCTACTGAAAACCAGTATAGATTGTGAAATTGTGGAATTCTCGAATTGTGGAACTGTGGAATTGTCGAGTTGTCGATTTGTCGAGTTGTCGAGTTGTCGAGTTGTGGAGATGTGGAGTTGTGGAGTTGTGGAATTGTGGAATTGTGAATTTGTGGAATTGCGGATTTGGGAATTGGGGAACTGGGAAATGCAAGAATTGGGGAATTGGGGAATGGGTGAATGGTGGAATTGTAAAATTGTGGAATAGTGGAAATGTAGAATCGTGGAAATGTGGAATCGTGGAATTGTGGAATCGTGGAATTGTGGAATCGTGGAATTGTGGAATCGTGGAATTGTGGAATCGTGGAATTGTGGAATCGTGGAATTGTGGAATCGTGGAATTGTGGAATCGTGGAATTGTGGAATCGTGGAATTGTGGAATCGTGGAATTGTGGAATCGTGGAATTGTGGAATCGTGGAATTGTGGAATCGTGGAATTGTGGAATCGTGGAATTGTGGAATCGTAGAATTGTGGAATTGTGGAATTGTGGAATTGTGGAGTTGTGGAATTGTGGAATTGTGGAATTGTGGAATTGTGGAATTGTGGAATTATGGAATTGTAGAATTGTGAAATTGTGAAATTGTGAAATTGTAGAATCGTGGAAATGTAGAATTGTGGGAATGTGGAATTGGGGAAATCCCCAAAATAGTCCCCAATTCCTAAATTCCTCCGGTCAATAAGAGACGAACGAGTATAATGAAGTGAATAGCATTTTTGTAATGAAAAGATCTTCCGCTTCGTTTCTGGTTTATGAAACCGTAATGTCCGTTCCTCTTCAGCGTATATCTGTTTCTATGCAAATGAATTTATTTATGGAACTGATGTCGCGTTATGTTTCCTACCTCGGGAAAATGTTTGACGATGTAGCCCAAGTAGACTGTTCAGAACTGTTACTCAGTTTTAAATATTATCTTTATAGCTTCTAGGTGTTGCTATTAATATTATGATCTGGTTTATTGCCCTTGAGTTGCGAATTACTTGCTTTGGATTTTTGTTCAAAATTAAAGTAACGAAGGATGTGAGAAATGGTTATGTGAAGGATATAGTTTTAAGGACTTGTAATTTTTAAATTTTATTTGGTATGACACGTAGAGTTTATTTGTATTGGGATTTTATTATGAATTATAGCTTCACTTTATTAGTTCTTTTTACTATTTGCATGTCTACTGATATTATGAAGTGTTTAAATTTATTTTGTCCACCATTTTTTTATAGACAGTAACCACAGTAGTGAGATTTTTCGCAACACCACGTTTGTGAACAAAAATTTGTTAATATTCATAGTACAGTAAATTTATAATAAAAATCTTCTACTACAACCTTAGTAGTTTTCATTTAGATTTAATCGTTAAATATTTCTGTTCTCAACAAAAATTGCATTAGATGATCTAATAATTTGTTAAATAGGCAACTGACAATTTTCTACTCTTTCACTTGTGAAACTTATCTATTCTCAATAAAAATCAAAGAAAATGTGATGCAAAGCTTGAGTACAATAATTTATTTTTTTTTACATACAAAATCTTGCAAATATTGAGATTAAGAATTACAAAACGTTTAGAGAGCCATTAACACGTTGACAGGCACAGTTATGCTTGGCACGACACACCATAATGCGTTTTACCAAGGACATTAAACATCGACATCTTAATATAAAGTTTAAATTTGCTATTTTAAGTTGCGAGAATAATATGTCATTCAAGATCTTCCTTCTTGAATGTGATAATGTAGATGAAGTTCCTTATAAGAATCTATTGAACTATCTTTAATCAAACAAGACAATTTAAGTATGTTATAAGGAAGAGAAAGTTAGATAATATCGATTACTATCTCCACTTTCGATTTGCGTTATAAAGCAATTTTATGTATTTATTTATTTCGTTCATGTGCAAGGTTATAAATTTAATAATGCAATTGGAAGAATAAATTTAAACGTCATTATACTTGCATTAGAATCACAAAGACATACAAACAATACGAATAATGTTTAATAACGTTAATATTACTCTAGTCTAAAATATCGAAAATTTAAATTGAAGAAATTACATCATGTCCTTATTAAACATCTTTATTAAACATATCTATACAAAAATTTTGGTATAATGTAATATTTAATTGCAGGGTGGTGTTGTATATTATTTATAATTATTGTAAGAGGCTTTAATATAATGCAACTTAATTTACAAACTTTAGTATACATTTAAATTTGTAAATTCAAATGGTTCAATTTTGCAATGAATCATTAATAATTATTTATAAAGAATCGTATTATGGAGGTAACTTAATTTGTAAACTTGATTTATTGTATGAGTAATAATTGTTATGAAGAACGGTGTTGTAACATAACCTAAATTGCAAAATTGAATCATCTTGTCAGTAATAATTATTATCACAAAGAGTCATACTATGAGCTAATTTCAATTCCAGAATTGAGTAATTATATCAGTAATTAATATTATTACAAAGAGTCGTATTCTAGCATAATTTAAATGGAGTAATTGTATTAGTAGTAATTACCATAATAAAAATCCCTACTACAACATAACCTAAATTGTAAAATTCAATTATTTCATCAGTAATAATTATTATCACAGAGTCGTATTCTAACCTAATTTAAATTACAAAATGGAGTAATTGTATCCGTCGTAATTACCATCATAAAAATCCCTGCTACAACCTAACCTATATTGCAAAATTCAATTATGTCATCAGTAATAATTATTACCACAAAGAGTCGAATTCTAACCTAATTTAAATTACAAAATGGAGTAATTGTATCAGTAGTAATTACCATCATAAAAATCCCTACTACAACATAACCTAAATTGTAAAATTCAATTATTTCATCAGTAATAATTATTATCACAAAGAGTCGAATTCTAACCTAATTTAAATTACAAAATGGAGCAATTGTATCAGTAGTAATTACCATCATAAAAATCCCTACTACAACATAACCTAAATTGTAAAATTCAATTATTTCATCAGTAATAATTATTATCACAAAGAGTCGAATTCTAACCTAAATTAAATTACAAAATGGAGTAATTGTATCAGTGGTAATTACCATAATAAAAATTCCTACTACAACCTAACCTATATTGCAAAATTCAATTATGTCATCAGTACTAATTATTACCACAAAGAATCGTACTCTAAGCTAATTTAAATAACAAGTTTGAGTCATTGTATCAGTAATAATTACTGCCATAAAAATCCCTACTACAACCTAACCTAACTTGC